TTAATTTTAGGATCTGAAGCTATGGTATTAGACAGCAGATATAGTATATAGATGTCACAAAGCCAGGGGCGGACTGACCATTTGGAAACTCGGGCACTGCCCAAGGGCCCGGGGTCAGCATGAGATACTGGGCGGGTGGCCACTTTTATGCATGTTTGAGTTTTTGGTACGTGGGTGCACTAGGGCCCTGGTTGCCATTGTGCTACATGCTGGGGTCCAGTGCACTCCTTTGCCTTTAAGAGGGGTGGCTCCCTCAGGTCCACCTGCCCATGATCTATCCATTAAATGCATGTGCCTCTACTATGGGGACTCACAAATTTTAGAGTTAGGACCACAGATTACCAGGGTGCCGTGTCGTGGCTCTGTGGCTTACGTATGTATTTGCAAATGTGTGCTAACTAAACCCCTGTTATAAACGCATACTGTTAGACAGGTTAATTCGGTTGTTAGCAAGCTGGCTGGCAAGTTGTCCAAGAACATTGTTCTCTCCCCTTTATTCAGCATGAGATACCCCTGGTTTGGGCAAGGACACAGGGGCCCCATGATCCCCTATTGCCTTGGGGCCCCATGAGTTGTCAGACCGCCCCTGCACAAAGCTTCAAGTTTAAGGTCCTCGTTTCCTTACAGTTTGTAAATGAAAAAAAAAAAAAGAGCAAAGGTTACAATTGCTGAGCAGTTAAGATGAACCTGCCAAGAGGAATGGGGAGTTGCCCATTTGCTGATTTGTTTTTGAAGGGACAGACTGAGGATGGCCTGGGTCTTGGCTTCACCCTCTAGTACAGGGGTAGGGAAATACTGAAGATGGATATTTACCTGAATAACATGGAAGATAATTAAAAAAATAAATAAATAAATAAAATAAATCACCAGAGTGCAGCATGGTTTTTTTTTTTTTTTTTTTTAGGGAATAAACCGGTTTGGCCCCCATTAAAAATTAGAGTAAATCCGCTCTTGCTGAGGGAAAAAAAAAAAAAAAAAAAAAAAACATTTCCCTCTGGGGATCTCTACATTGCAAGGATTTTAACAAACTTTGCTGCAGAGTCCTACTTTTTGGTATTCTGAATAAATAACGGTTTGTCTGTGTCCATGTGCAGTGTGAATCTGTATGGGATTTTATAATTCTCAATCAGCTGCTGAACCTGCAGCACTCTAATGAGGAACGTGGCAGGGTCTGTATATCCCTTTAGAAGCGACTTCCCTTTGGTAGTATCTCACCAACAAGGATACTTTTGTTGCAGGGGATGCTCAAAATCTGACTTGTATCTTAGTGCAGACTTGAGAAAATCAATGAGCCAAATCACACAAGCAGGAAATGAAGTTTCTGGTGAAGGGGGCTGCATTCTGAACACCATCTGTTTACAGCAGGTAGCCACATTGCATAGCATTTTACAGAAAATGATAGCGCTGACTTGTCCTATGTCACAGTTGTACACACTATATTTTATATTTTTTTAGTTTGCTACTTTTTTCCCACGAAAGTGGAGTTACCCTTTAAGGAAGGACTGGCACAAGAACACACCCAAGGCAGCTTTTTTCCAAGAAAATTAGTTTTAAAACCATTCTGTTATCCATCCCAACAGCGGAGCGCTATTCCATATTAGTCATCAATGAACATCAAAAGTTTAAAGTTGAAGGTGATACCATGCATTGGCGAACTTAAAAGTGGATGTAAAAGCTGAATGCGTACTATGCAGGAAGGTAAAAAACCTTCTGTGTGAAGCAGCCCCTCTAGTACTTACCTGAATGCCATTGAGATCCAGTGATATGCACAAGAGCCTCAGCTCTCCAGAGACTCTCACTCCTCATTGGCTGAAACAGCGGGATCACAGCCAGTAAGTCAAAAAGGAGAGAGAGGGAGCGTGAATGAACACACAAAGCAGCGGCTTGGGAGCGAGCCTGTTTGGGTGCTCCCATAGCAAACTGCTTGCTCTGGGGGCACTTGGCAGGAGGGAAGGGTCAGGAGCACCAATGTGGGACCCAAAAAGAGGATTGGGGCTGCTCAGTGCAAAAGCACTGCATACAGCAGGTAAGTATGACATGTTCGTTATCTTTTGAGTTTGGTAGTTTTCAAAACAGCTACTGGTTCATCAGTAGCATAGAAAGACAGACTGTTACCATTAATTTTTAGGAACATTTTAGTAAAAGGTCTTCAAGGTTTCTAATACAGTGCTGAGATCGATTACATTTCTACATAAGTGCACTAATGAGAACTGTTTAACAAAAGGGTTAATCTGTACTGATAAAAATGAATTTCCCTTACACCTATCTGTACTTGAAATGGTCACACCATGCAAGGTATTGAAGAGTTATAGAATATAACATTTCAAGGAAACCGGTCATATGCCTTAAATCCGGGCCAGCACAAATGCATGGCCCTGAATATGGCTCTATGCCTTGAAAGCCTAAAAAAAATCTAAACATATATGGGTAAAGTGCTCACCTCCCTACTCCCATAATGCAGTGCTCCATGCCTCACTGCCCTGTTCACAGGACTAGGTACTATCACATTCGGGGGTATGTGGGAGAGTGATGCTGTGTTAGGCAATGTAGGGAGGGCCTAGGTGTATAGAAATACCTCCTTTTTTCTCGGGGGTCATATGAATCACTGAGGAACCTACTATATAGAGGCACTAAAGTCCCAATTTTACTTACCCAGTCTATGACGACTGTAGTCAGAGCATGGGAGTTGGTAATAAGCAAACAACCCCATACACTTGGCAGCTGGTCCCCTGATACTCCTCTATGGCTCAATCCATGACTCCCCGAATTTATGTCAATACCTAACCCTAGGGTGTGGGCCTCCAAAGGAATCAAGACATTGGAGCGCATATGTGAGGGGGAGGTTACCCGTTACCCTTAGGTCCTCTAATGCTCTGAAGCTGAAGTTTGGTCTACCTAACACCCACTTTTTCCACTACCTCCAGAATGGACACGCCTTCTCCTCCCAGCTTGTGTCAACATGCCTGACCATTGAAAGGTCTGACATGGAATCCCTTTCTCAAGTATACAAAGCCTTACTGCCTTCCATTCATGTGGGTTTGGAGGGTCTTCATGCAAAGTGGCAGGTTCACTTTCCACAAATGGACACGGAGGATTGGGAGGCTATCTGGAAATACCCATTTCTGCAATTGGTACCAGTTAAGGATAGACTCAACAGTTATTGCACAGAACATACTATACGCTTCAACGCTTAAATAGACTTTATCCAGGGGTCTACCCCCACTGCTGGAATTGTACTCAAACAGACGCTGACTTTCTACATATGTTTTGGATCTGCCCTGGGATTCATAGATTTTGTGATGAAGTTATGAAATTTACCTCTGCTCTAACTACTGTTTCCATACCGTTGACTGTGGAGGTCTGCTTGCTTGGATTGGTAGGTCAATTAGCTTTTGGCCCGAGCAACTAAGACCCTCCTTGGCCTCCTGCTATTTTATGCATGAAAGGCCATTGTGCTGAAATGGAAGATGCCGGAGATACCCTCCTTAGACTTCTGGAACGCTCTAGTGAACGCCTCCATCCCCTGTACGAAGCCACATATGAGTACCGAGGCTGCCTGGTTAAATTCTACAAAGTATGGCATCTGTGGACTGAGCCCTCTGCCACTAATGCATCATCATAATTCTAGTATTTATGTAATGGTTTTACTTCTGTACTTCTATGTGGGGGTCATGGCCTACAGAGTAGTTTTGTCGGTATCTTGTGGTAGTATGGGAGCAGTTTCTTTGGTCTCCTTCATTCTCATTTGTCTGGGCACTGTGGCGGAGATGACTGTACAACAGCAGCATCAGTATCTTTCTTCTTAGTAGGACTGAGCAAAAGTCTCATACAACAGATTTTTTTTTGCAGCTGTTTTTGAAGTGTTCTGGTTAGTAACCTATGTTAGATGTGAATGTTGCACCAGGGAATGCCCAGACGCTCTGTTTTATACGTTTTTTTTTTTTTTTTTTTTTTTTTTAAATCGAAATAAACAGATTTTGAAGAAAAAAAAAAAAAAAAGAAGAAGAAACCTTTTTTATACCAACATATAACCCCTGAATAGTTGTGACAGCCTAAAGGGGGCAAGGAACATAAATGTACAGCATGGCAGAAAAAGAAGCCTGCTACACAACTGTGGTGCCATCTTTATTTGTACCATGACATGACAAGTGTCCTTTAAAAAAAACTTGGGGATGCAATGCACTACAAATATTGAAAGAGTGTGACTTTATACTGCATTTTATCTTACCCTAGATTTAAACACGAACATACAGTTTATACTCCGCAGTCCACTAATAGAACAGATGCAGTCTCTGAACCGGAGTAGGCACCCAACAATTCAGAGCAGGGGAAGAGTCAAAATGAATCTCTATGCATGTGCATTGTTAGTACTCAAAGTATTAGTCATATCATCAGAATGATGACAACCAGGAAGCTAAGGAAGAGCTCAGCAATAGCAGCCTACATGCAGATATGAGATGGCAGGCTTCCTTTTCACACAGAATGAGAATTTAATATGTAAGCTTAAACTGGATGAGTTCACTCCTCTTCACGTATCAGCAAGATTCGAAAAGGCTGCAATATCAAGTCCCTGTCTCTTCCTGTATGACTGATGCATCATCAGTGATAGGCACTAAAGGGTAATGAAATAAGTAATCAGCAGTGATGAAGAGTAATATAAAAATAATTAAGAAATATTGCTATGTTGTGGCCAAGATAAATTTTTGCATCTTGGCATCTATTCAGACAACTTGTTTTGTGGATATCAGATCACTAATAAGCTCTTTTTAAGAGCATATTAGTGATCTGATAGAATTGTACATAAAAAAAAATAAAAAAATTAGAAAACGTATCTGTAAAGTTTACAACTCCAACCATGTTTCTCAACTCTTATATTTTTTTTTTTTAAGGTGGCAAATATGGGACTAGCATTGTTGCATGTCAATAAGATTAGGAACTGAAATACACAGTAACAAAATAACAGCCCTGAGTATATAAGAAGTACTGATACTTATACATACCTCAGAACAACAACTATAGGACTTTCGCTGCCAGTGACCACCATGAGACCTTTCCAGATCATCAGTGCAGAGGATACAATCATACCAAAGTTTAACACTTGATAGTACAGCTGAAAAGAAAAGGACACAATGCTTTTACTGTCTTATGATGTCACAGTTAACAATATTTTGTTTTGGTAAAGAAAAAAAATAAAATAAAACAGGAACCAGTATTGGAATGAACCAGCTGTCACTGTTAACCTCCATCTCAGAAAATGTTAGTTATCTGGCTGTCTTGTTACAGTACTTGAAGTCCCCAAGCTGGAACAAATATGTAGGCAATGACAAGTGACTTTTCTGAAATGTTTACCTGTTTTGGATTACTGGCTCTGAAATAAATGAAGCTGAAATCCGGGTATGTTTTATTGCATTAGTTACATACTTCAGCTTAGATCAATGTACAGTGGGGATCGAAAGTTTGGGCACCCCAGCTAAAATTTGTATTAATGTGCATAAAGAAGCCAAGGAAAGATGGAAAAATCTCCAAAAGGCATCAAATTACAGGTTAGACATTCTTATAATATGTCAACAAAAGTTAGGATTTTATTTCCATCATTTACACTTTCAAAATAACAGAAAACAAAAAAATGGCGTCTCCAAAAGTTTGGGCACCCTGCAGAATTTATAGCATGCACTGCCCCCTTTGCCAAGCTGAGACCTGCCAGTGTCATGGATTGTTCTCAATCATCGTCTGGGAAGACCAGGTGATGTCAATCTCAAAGGTTTTAAATGCCCAGACTCATCTGACCTTGCCCCAACAATCAGCACCATGGGTTCTTCTAAGCAGTTGTCTAGAAAATTGAAACTGAAAATAGTTGACGCTCACAAAGCTGGAGAAGGCTATAAGAAGATAGCAAAGCGTTTTCAGATGTCAATATCCTCTGTTCGGAATGTAATTAAGAAATGGCAGTCATCAGGAACAGTGGAAGTTAAAGCAAGATCTGGAAGACCAAGAAAAATATCAGACAGAACAGCTCACAGGATTGTGAGTAAAACAATTCAAAACCCACGTTTGACTGCACGATCCCTCCAGAAAGATCTGGCAGACACTGGAGTTGTGGTACACTATTCCACTATAAAGAGATACTTGTACAAATATGGTCTTCATGGAAGAGTCATCAGAAGAAAACCTCTTCTACCTCCTCACCACAAAAATCATCGTTTGAACTTTGCAAATGAACATATAGACAAGCCTGATGCATTTTGGAAACAAGTTCTGTGGACCGATGAGGTTAAAATTGAACTTTCTGTCCGGAATGAGCAAAGGTACGTTTGGAGAAGAAGGGGCACAGAATTTAATGAAAAGAACCTCTGTCCAACTGTTAAGCATGGGGTTGGATCAATCATGCTTTGGGGTTGTGTTGCAGCCAGTGGCACAGGGAACATCTCACGAGTAGAAGGAAAAATGGATTCAATAAAATTTCAGCAAATTTTGGATGGTAACTTGATGCCATCTGTGAAAAAGTTGAAGTTAAAGAGAGGATGGCTTCTACAAATGGATAATGATCCTAAACACACCTCGAAATCCACAGGGGGATTACATCAAGAGGCGTAAACTGAAGGTTTTGCCATGGCCTTCACAATCTCCTGACCTCAACATAATTGAAAATCTATGGATAGACCTTAAAAGAGCAGTGCGTGACAGACAGCCCAGAAATCTCAAAGAACTGGAAGACTTTTGTAAGGAAGAATGGGCAAAGATACCTCAAACAAGAATTGAAAGACTCTTGGCTGGCTACAAAAAGCGTTTACAAGCTGTGATACTTGCCAAAGGGGGCAGTACAAGATATTAACTCTGCAGGGTGGCCAAACTTTTGCAGACGCCATTTTTTTGTTTTCTGTTATTTTGAAAGTGTAAATGATGGAAAAGCCCAGCAACGTGCGGGTACAGCTGCACGAAGCCCAGCGACGTGCGGGTACAGCTGCACGAAGCCCAGCGACGTGCGGGTACAGCTGCTTGTCCGCAAGTAGTTAAGTGTGACAAATATGCAAAAAAAAAATAAATCAGGAAGGGGGAAAATACTTTTTCACAGCACTGTACATATTTCATACCTGTGAAACCACTGTGAAAGTCAAGAAGTATTGTAGTAGTCAGCACTACAGTTGCAGTCTTCTGGGTCCTGTGCATGTTTTTTCAGTAAACACAAGGCATTCTGTGATTGGACAAGGTGGAGATGGCAATCCCATTGCTCTGCCTCTCCACCTCCTCCATTCACAGAACGCCTTGTGTTGCTTGGAAAAAATACAAAGTGTTCTGCGAATGGTCAGCATGCAAACAGAGCAACATCCTGTTTTAACTATGCAAAAGGGCAGTTGTTTGGCACAAGACACGGATGACCACAGCAATCACTGTAGTAGCACCAACTGCTAAAACGATTCTCCACTTCCAGTTTGCTAAAGCCCTGTGTAACAAACAAATATAATTTTTAATTTTTTTTTTTATACTTTCATGATTTTTCATGTATTGTTGCATCACAGTACTGCTGTTATCCTGTAGCCACTTCCTGTCTACATGCATGGTCTACTGACCACGTTTAAGTAACGAGTGATGAAATGGCCACTTGTAGTCTCTATCAGAAGCCTGTGTAACAAGTTGGCAATGCAGGAGCACAAATGGGAGACAAAGGCAGAGCAATGTCACCCTATATTAGAAATCACCTGAATCAGGTCCTTCCTAGTAGAGTCACCAGGCATTTTTTAATAAATCTAGCAGACTTAATATAACTGCAAAAGTTATTTAAAAAAAAAAAATCATCATATAAAGGCTTACAAACGTTGAACAAAAAAGTCACTGCACCCAAAGGAAACTGTTGACTAACAACATATTGGAAAAGGCAAACATTAGATCGGCAAACAGTGCCTACAAATAAAGTTGAGCTACAAATCATATGTACATTTAAGATTATTCATTGTTGATCTAAATTAATGAAAGTATTGATTTGTCATAAGGAACAGGTAACTACAACCCTACATTTACAAACATTTCAAATCTATGAAATTAGAATCACGTTCCACAGACTGTCTGCAGGTAATGGTTTTATAAGTGATTACACGCATGACTACGGCCACAATTAGCTGTGGGAGCGGTCAGCCTCCCATTGTTTTTAAAGGGTATTCCTTCTGCAGCTAGTCATCAGGAACCTCCACTAGGGCTCCTGCATGTAAATGCTAACAGTCCTATACGCAAGTGTGAATGGGGCCTTAGAGTGTAACTTTACCCAAAACAGTTTGATAACATGTAATGTTCTTTAACCACTTGCCTCCTAAGGATTTACCCCCCTTCCTGACCAGGCCATTTTTTGTGTTACAGCGCTGCCTTACCTTAACTGACAATTGAGCGGTCATGCAACACTGCAGCCAAATGAAATGTATGTCCTTTTTTTCCTCCCGAATTAAGCTTTCTTTTGGTGGTATTTGATCGCCTGTGCATTTTTAATTTTTTGCGCTATAAGCATAAAAACCCAACAATTTTGAGAAAAAAAAAAAACCACAATATTTTGGACATTTTGCTATTAAACGTGTCCAGTAAAAATTAAAAAAAAAAAAATCAAATTTCGTCATAAATTTAGGCCAAAATGTATTCTGTTACATGTCTTTGCTAAAAAAAAAAAAAAAAAAATCCCAATACGTGTAAATCAATTGGTTTACGTGAACGTTATAGCGTTTACAAAGGGCAGTATAGATACTGGGGTTTTTTTTTTTTTACTAGTAATGGCAGCAATCAGCGACTTTTAGAGGGACTGCGGTGGACATTCTGACACTGGGGGGGGGAACTAACGATGTCACTGACTTTCCCAGTGACACCAATACAGTGATCAGTGCTAAATAAATATTAATAAAAAAAAAAAAGCACCGACACTGTACGAATGGCACTGGGCAGGAAGGGATTAATGTGAGGGGTGATCAAAGGGTTAACTATGTGCTGGGAGTGTTTTACTAGGGGGCGGGGTGTGTGTGCTTTACTGTAACCACACTGATCAGGATGGCTGTGCTGTGCACAGCCATCCCGAGCAGTGTGCTCGAGCTGATAGGGAGAAAGACAAAAACAGTCTTCCTCCCCGTCGGTGATTGGCGGTAATCACCGGGCGCCAGCGGTAATTACCAGCCGGGACCTGGTGATAGACATCAGTGGCCACGAATGGTGGCATGCGTAGGGTGCGCGCGCCCCCTACTCATAAATGCAAAATCACATATATATACGTGATTTGCGCACAGGTGCCGCCATGTAACGGTATATCTGCTATACGGCGGCGTGGAAGCGGTTAACAAAGGAACACAAACATTCCATGTTATTAATTATGCTACCAAAATTAGTGTATGCTGCAACTGTCCCCAGCATTGCTCTTGTCTCTTCTTGCCGGAGGTTGCCATTTGTGGAAGCCTAGAGCACCAATGTTATTTTAGTCAACTAAATTAACACTATTTTAGTCAACTAAAATATGACTAGGGGGTTTACTTACTAAAAGTTGGCTCACTCAGCTGTGCATGGTAGCCAATCAGCTTCTAACCTCAGCTTGTTCAATTAAGCTTTAGCATGAAAACCTGGAAGCTGATTGGTTTCTACGCAGAAGTGCACGAGATTCTGAGTGAACCAACTTTAGTAAATAAACCCCTAGATGACTAGAATATGACAAACTAAAATGGCCTTTTAGTCAAAAGACTGACTAAAACTAAATCAACATGTGACATCAAAATGAACACTGCACTACCACATAAGCCTAAGTAAGGGCATCTACTAAGTTGCTGAAAGAAAAAAGAAAAAAAAAAAAAAAAGGCTTTTTCTTTTTTTTTTTCTTAATATTTTCTTAATATTTAATGTTTGTAATATATTCAGGTAATAGCATTACAGCCAAGAGTAAAAAAAAAAATATAATATAATATATAATATATATATATATATATATATATATATATATATATATATATATGTAAAGTTGCACCACATTTTTGTTTATTATTTTTGATTGCTATGAAACTATTTAAAAAGATGTTATATATCACAGTGGCTAAATCTGTGTCTGTAGTGCATGTTCAAACATTAATGCCATAAATAATAACTTATTAGATTTTT